TCTATCTATCTATCTATCTATCTATCTCAGTAGGTTCATTATCTATCTATCTATCTATCTATCTATCTATCTATCTATCTATCTATCTATCTCAGTAGGTTCATTATCTATCTATCTATCTATCTATCTATCTATCTATCTATAAAAACATCAACGCGAAATGCATATGCAAGGCACAAACTGCTGCACGTTTAATGCATGTTTAAGTGTACGTGAATACTTGCAGGGTTGCATAGAATTAGACGTATCCGCATGAAGGGAGTCCACACCGAAGCAAAATGATGTTTGGCGTTAAGAAACGAGGAACACAACGTGAGAATTACAACTGTGAATGAAACATGATTAGAATCAGCGATATTTAGTATTTCAAAAGTTATTTTTAACGGATGACCGTATTTTAAACAGACGCCCCGTTTTTTATTCTTTATTTTAAACAGTGGGAATTACATCTATCGGCCTGCGCACAGGGAAAATTTAAGAAAGAGAATATACTCAGAGGTAGGGTTCGAACTTGCTTTCCCCGTTGTATGAGAAACCACCTTTTTATCAGGAGGGCTTTAAACCGCCCGGCCACAGAGAGCGATACAGTCCAGCGAGAGTCTTTTTACTTTTTTATAAATTTATTTTTAAGATTTATTTTTGATACGTCATAAAGCGTCTTGTGTAATTACCTTGTTTCTTATTAATTTGTTTCCAGTTCTATTCCATATTAAAATTTTTAAGTTTTCTCAAAGTTATCGGTGTTCATTTTTATGGCTACACTATCTATCTATCTATCTATCTATCTATCTATCTATCTATCTATCTTATATACTAGTTCGTGCCTGACAACTTGGGAAAACCATGAAACTTTAAGTTGCACTAAAAACGTAGTATATACTTCTGAACTCTGTTTAACTACAGTGAGCACTGTTTTGTTTACACCTTATATTAAATTAAATAAATATTTGCTTACCTGTGTATGCACGCTAACGCACGTATATACAGTTGCTAATAACTATTTTTTGGTTTATATCTATCTATCTATCTATCTATCTATCTATCTATCTATCTATCTATCTATCTATCTATCTATCTATCTCAGTCTGTTCATATCTATCTATCTATCTATCTATCTATCTATCTATCTATCTATCTATCTATCTAGTCTGTTCATATTCATCTATCTATCTATCTGACAGATATATATATATATATATATATATATATATATATATATATATATATATATGTATATATATAAAGAAATATAGTTTTAAGGTGTGCTATATTTATGGGATAAAGTACTCAATATCAGAGATAGAGCGTGTGTAAATATAAAAGTGAACATAGAAGTCAACACTTAGAGGCGACAGGCTGTTTCATGCTATATGCAATCGTCAGGCCACGACGATTGCATATAGCATGAAACAGACTTTCGCCTTCTATGTGTTGACGTCTATGTTCACTTATATATATATATATATATATATATATATATATATATATATATATATATATATATATATATATATATATATATATAGATATATATAGATAGATATAGATAGATAGATAGATAGATAATGCCTTGCAATTAAAAAAAAATGCATGGGAACGTACGGTCACGAACGCCTTTCAACACGAAAAACTCGCTTCAGAATCCAATTTTCAGAAACAAAATACCCCCCGTCGTCTCGAGCGACGAACAAGCAAAAAAACAGGCGAAATTTGTGCAAAATGTTGAACGATATCATTTTGAAAAACCCATCGCACGCTGTAGCATAAGCATTTCCAATGACAATGCCGTTTTTCATTTTAGAAACACTTTCAAACGTAGACAAATGTTTAATTAGACAGGGGCCCATTTAATCTCCCGTGGCTTAAGAGACAGAAGAAGAGAAAGAGAAAAAACGCTGATGTTTTTTATGGAAGGGCACTGCTCTCGCAAACTCTCGCATACCCTCCCCACTTTTCTTACCACCTTCCATTTACCACGTCAACTCCTTACAGATACGAAGAAATTAAAATAAGTGTTCTTCTATATTTTATCTGTTTAGTATTGTGTTTATCTTCTTTTTGTGTTAGATTTAATTAATGTTCACCCAATACAAGGCACAAGAGCCACTCAAAGTAGAGGGTTACTGCGTGGAGTTGTATTAACGTAAGGAAGGACAAACGTTAAAAGTATCGAGTTGAAGTAGACTTAAGAGGGAACCGGAAACCCAAATCCTAAACAGGAAATAAGGAATACACCTCCACTCCTGTTCGAAACAGAGAAGGAGTGTGAACCGAACGATAGGCGAACCTTTCTATTCGTACTAAATGATTTTCATTGGTTGTGTGTATGTACAAAATATTGTTGTAAAAGTTTGAATAAGCAATCATCTGGCGTCCAAGAACGGATTAATCCATTTTACATTGATTCCTATGAGGAATATAATTTCGGTTTATGAACATTTCGGACCACGAATAGCCTTCAAGAACAAATTAAATTCGTAAACCGAGGTTCCACTGTATTTATTTTTAAACTTTTAAATCATTGATTTTATTTTGTAATTAATGTTCATTTTATTTTATTTTATAAACAGTAATTTCGCTTCTTCCGCACAGCATCTGATGTTGATTGCTGATGCAAAACCCGCCCTTTTCATTGCACGTTCTTTTCAAAGGGCGTCGTCTTCTTTCTAATACAAAATATCCTCTTATGTAAGGGTTCTATTTTCCACTATATACTTTTTATACAACACCCCTGTGCTTCGATTATCATTGGTACTACAATCAAGTTATCTGCTAATCCTTCCAAAACTTGCAAAATTTCATGTTTTAAATAATTGTAGTTGTTGATTTGTTCTTGCTTTCAATTCACATATCAAATGTGCTGCCTGATAAAGGTTTCCCGTCCATTTGACGCAATAATAATAATAATAATAATAATAATAATAATATGTGGGGAATGAAGACTGAGACTGTACCAATAGTAATCGGAGCACTGGGATTCGCGAGAAAAGGAATGGACAATTTTATTAACAATGTCCCAGGTAACATCAACATACAAATTGCCTAGAAGATCGTCCTACTAGGAACATCCCATATACTAAGAAAATGGCTATCAATTAAATGATAATTCTCCTATAGGGCCTAAGGGCAATTGCTTGGACCAGACTCTACAGGATACAAAGCAGGAAACATAACATAGACAAATAATGATAATACTTATCGTGATTTTAGAAAAGAAAAAATGTCACTTCTTCATCTGTGAGGAGATTGTCTAACATTCATTATCATATAGTTATGTACTCTTTTCTTTATTTCTAACGAAATTTTCATCTTTCTTAATGATTTGCTTAGCTTTTGGAAGGCATATTTCACTATCCTTCGGATTTCAATATCGTACTTTCAGTCCTTGCTTAAAACACTTCCCAGAGATTTAAATTGTTGTACTTGTTTGATTTTGGTATATCCAATTTGCATGTTGGACTGTTGCTAACAACCATGTCTTCTGTCATTTTTTTTTTTTTTTTACAATGGTGTTCACCCTGTACAAGGCGCTGGAGACACACGAAGTAGAGGGTTACTGAGTAAGAGCTACAGCTTATGCAAATATGTGCGGAAGCTTCTAGCAACTGATGCTTAGTCCTTTTTTCTCACCTTCCTTCACTACTTTCTGCACCTGTTCTTGTAGTTTCTTTTCTGTTTCTGCTATCAGCACTGTATCGTCTGTACGTGTTATGTTGTTAAGATTGTGGCCGCCATTAATGAATCCTGACAGGACTTCTAATTCTCTCAAAATCGCTCCACTCTATAGATTGAATGAGTCCGACGAGAAGACATCTCCTTGTCTTACACCCCTTGTTTTCATATTTACTGAATTCATTTTCTATCAGTACGTAGGGGTTTTACTGCCATTATAGGTTCTGGATTATTTTAATATCCTTCCCAATTTTCTTTTATGTACCGTGTCCCTTCGGAACGTCGGCGTTCCTGTCCCTTGTAGCTTTTTGATTTTTTTGTTATCTCTCCCCGACCCTGTTCTGACATCCATTTGCTCAAGCCCATTAAGTGTGTCACGCGTTGCATTCCCTATCCGTCTTTCTCTCTGTCCATCCTGTGATATCCAGGCCCTCCTTCCCCCCATTATGTGCCCCAGAAACCCGCGTCTACCTGATGTTAAGTATTTCCTTTTTGAATCCATTCTCCTCAAAACCTCGTCATTGATTAAATGTTCGACACATAGTATCCTCAGCATCCTTCTGTTGCTTAGAGTCTCTTCTTCATCTTTGAGGAGATTGTCCATCATTCGCTGCCAAAACAGGAGGATATATATTACGTAACAGTTCAGTACTTTTTTGTTTGTTTCCAACAAAATTTTTCTGTCTCTTAATACTCTGCTTAGCTTTTGGAATGCCTCTTTCATCATCCCTATATGTCTTCGGATCTCAGTGTCGATCTATCCATCCTGTGTTAGAACACTTCCCAAATATTTAAATTCCTGTACCTATTTAATTTTAGTCTCTCCGACCTGTAATTTGTATTTTGGGTTCTTTTTTTTTTTTGCTGATGACTATGGATTCTGTCTTCTCGTAATTTATGCTTAGTCTTTTCTTCTCGCTTTCCATCGTTACCTTCTGTAGGGGTTCTTGTAATTTCCTTTCTGTGTCCGCTATCAGCACTGTGCTATCTGTATATCTTATGTTGTTAAGATTGTGGCTGCCAATGGTGAATCCTGGTAGGATTTATAGATGCTCTTAAATTTTTTTGAAACAGTTTTGATCAGATATTTTTTTTATTTCCTTTTCATCAATGAGTCTCCGTGGTTTCAAACATCTATTGGGATTCATTCTCTCACTTTTGGCACACCCTAATATTTGAATTATTCTTACAGATCTTTTCTTTGTCGTTTCTTCTTACGTTTGCTTTTTATCTTTTACTTCTCTTATACTCTTAACTTGATGGTGGTCAAAACCTCTGATTAGTTCTTAGTTATTGAGAATACACTCACTTCTATATTGAAACAGTGCTTACGACCACATCATGTTGAAATACTGCTTCTCGTATGAATACCGAAGCTAAGCAACGTCGAACCTGGTCAGTACCTAGATGGGTAACCGCTTGGGAATACCGGGTGCTGTAAGCTTGGATGTGCGGGTGGTGTAATGAATAATTCCTCAGAATTGTTAATCGGAGAGCTGAGTTTCAATTACAGTTGGGTTCGTTAAATTTACTTACACGCAAATATCCTTGCGAAAGGTTAATTAGTAAGACTTGTATCACTAACTCATTATTAGATAATAAAAAATATTACAATCTAAAACTATTTTCTGGCTTTAAATAACCTGAAAAGGGGTTTGATTAGCCTTAAAAAAACGAATCAATCAATCAATATAATGAAACAAATAATATAACTCTTTCATATTTTTAACCGATTATTTACAAATAAAAAATATTTACAAATAGTAAATAAAATTAGAATTTAAGCGGAGACATTGCAATAAAATAAATGAAAAATAATTCTTTATTTCATAATTGTTGATTCGTTGCGTGGAAAGCAGATTTAATTTCTAAAAAGAATTTTAAATTTCTTTTTAAATTTAAAGCCATTTCTCTCAATTCTATTTTTATAAACCCCCCCAACCCGCCTATATATTCTATTAATTTTCGCTTCTCCCCGTTTCTTCTCACTCTTTCTTCCTTTTTTTATTTTTTTCTCTCTTTTTTTCAAAATGTCTCTCCTCATTTTCCTTTTCGCTGTATTCCTCACCTCTTACCACATCTCTTCAGTTTTCTAATTTCTTCTCAGTAGATGTTGATTTGATGAGATCATGTCATTCATAATCCCGCCGGTTGTGACGTCATCAAAATGATTGAAAAACCCTAACCCTACCTTCTACGACAACTCATTAGCCAATCCCAAATCCCTATTTAAAGATCAGCCACAGAAAACGGTGCTATTTAGGCCAGAACTTAGCTCCATCAAGCAAAAAGTCCATTTTAAAAAATGAGAAATTCCCAATTTGAAAAGGACAAAATGTACTGAGTCACCTTTACGTTGCCGAGAAAATGGATTATTTCTGTCTCGGTGAGTAAAAGGCGGGCGACCGAGATAAAAAGAAAAGAGTTCAATGTCGTACATATACACAGAGTCAGGCAGAGTGATGCCACGTTGAATGGTGTGCATTCCGTTTCGGAAAAATTGCAATAACAAAAAGTCGATGCTGAATTTAAGGTAATGACGGAATGAGGTGCTGTAAAAAGACATTGTGGTAAATTATGGTTGTTTTGGGACGTGTAACCATTCTATTTTTTCAAAAGGGCTTCTTACGGCATTGTGGCGAAGAGTTTCCAAGTTGCTGTGGGTGGGGATGTTGGAAAAGAAAGATAGAAATAGAAAAGAAAGGCAGAAAGAAAGAAAAGCAGAAAGAAAAACAGGCAGAGATAGAAAGAAGGAAAGGAAGAAAGAAAGACAGGAGGAGGAGAGAGATAGAAAAAAAAACATACACACACGTGTATGGGTCTTTCTTTCTGTCTTTCACACACACACACACACACACACATATATATATATATATATATATATATATATATATATATATATATATATATATAAAGAAAGAAAGATGAAGAGGGAGAAAAAGAAAAAAGGCAACGATTATATACATATATTCATTCTACGATATTTCTCAGACATTCAAGACGGTAAATGTTGTTAATGCTATTTATTACAAACAGATCATTTACTTATTTGAATCTATAAAAATAACGTATAAACAGAAAATATATTAAAATAATTGTCGGACTTAGTCCATTTCATTTTATATATATATATATATATATATAGAGAGAGAGAGAGAGAGAGAGAGAGACGGGGTAGATATCCGGGTGAGTGGGGGATTGTGATATGTTCGGCTTATGGTAAGAAAAATGTGATAAAAATATTTCAATTAATTTTATTTCATTTCAGTACTATAAAGTTTATTAATATTTCATTTTATTTTTACTAAAATTCACAAATTATTTTGTATGATTTTTAAAAATTTTCCTACGCACAAACCGAAGGTAAAACGTTTCTTTTATTTTTGACTTTTATAAATTGGAAGCGCTTTCAAAACAAAGGGAATTCTTGATTTGTTTTTAACATTGTAATGAAACTACCGATTGCGTTAATAAGAGGCGCCACCGGGTAATAGCTAACGATCTAGTACTGAGTTCAATCCTACCTGGGTTCTCCATACTTGCAGCCTTGTGCCATACTAATTTAAACTTAGTATTACAGAAAGTTTATTAATATATAGAAAATACCATCAGTTACTATAGTGAAAGCAACGGTTTTTGCATCAACAATAACAAGCGAACAGCGGCAAACCATTACTGCTATAGTAAGTATCCCACGTGCGGTCTTGTAATATTCAGATTTATTTAATAGTAATTATCAGTAGTTGAATAGTTAGCAATTTTTCAAAGTTCAATGGTTACTGGAATTTCCTTAAGGCCTTGTACCAGACTAACTGTTGTAACCTAGGGAAGGTTACTGAATAGAATAATCAAACGAAGGTTTGTAATGAACGATAATACTTAGGACAAGAACAACACACATAAGATTCACCAGCGGTGCATAGAAGTAGTCAACTGCTAGAAGTGAGTCAAGAAAATTCCACAATCTCCAACTGCAGGATATCTACCAACCGCCACTTGCGATGCGATGTGTCACAGGACCGAATTTAATGCGTGGTATCCGAGCCCGTAGACCCGGCTAAAAATTTCCCATAGAATCCGTATAAAACGTCGTCGGGTAGCTGTTTTCCGAGACGAGACTCTGCCCTTCGACATAGCCTCATCTGGGGATCCTCTCTGCCCTGAGGCAGAGAGTTTGACCAGTACAGCTGCAGACGAATCTCCAACTGCAAACCAACATACAGTATTTACTATTGTATTTGTGTCAATGGAGACATGCCCATTATCGTCTGTAGGTTTGCTACAACACTAAGTTAAGCTTAAATAAATATTAATAACACTAAGTTATAAAAAAGTGAAAAATTGAGAAGTAATGGAGACAAAAGGCAGACAGAATTACTATCTTTACTTTTATTACTCCTTTACTCCTTTTCCTCTTTTAAAACGGTGAAGCTTTACTTCTTCCCCTTTGGCACGTGATACACACTTACATCAATGAAAATAAGTTCACAACAAACATCTCTACAGAGTCACACGCCAACGACAGGCTGTTATAAGTGGATAATTAAATGACAAAATAGAAGTAATCCTATGTTATGCATTTTGTTCTTCGAAAAGACTTCTTCAGACTGTTATATACAGCAGTGTTAAGCAGACTATTATTTTTTAGAGGAAGTTTATCTTTGCTCGGACTACCTGAGGTTGACCTTAGGGATTAGATAGAAAACAAAATAAAGGAAGTCGATTTTGATCGGTTGAACCAACGTGGGAATGATAGATAGAGGAAGTTTTTTTCAGTTTCTTAACCGTCGAACATGTTTCCTTTCGTATCTGGAGCTGCCCACGCCCCAGTTGGGGGGAAAACCACACTGGATAAATAGGGAATGTAAACGTCGATGACATTAATTTCAAAATTCCCTGTGTTGAAGTTCTTTTATTTCTGAACTAAAAACAACTAGCGATCACCGGCTGAGAGAGAAGAATGCAACTTTATAATTACTGAGCGCTCACCGTTGCCCAAGACGTCCCCAGAACGAAGGGACTATACAACAAGACTAAACGGTTTTATTGATGGAATCATATGTAGGGAGAGGGAACGAAGTGCAGAAAACGTCTGAAATAATTCTACGAATCCAGGTAAAAAAAAAAAAAAAGCCACAGGTAAAAAATGTCACAGGAAAAAATCACAGAAACAGGACAAGATCAACACACGGCGGATAAGACTTCAACGGACAAAACCCTAACTTCTTATGATCACAAAAGTGGATAAAATCTCAGTCTCATAAATATATTGAAAATTCAAGGAACTTTACTGTTAAATTGAGACTTTATTCACATAAAGGTGGATCTTATGGGAAATTAGGACATCATAACTTTTTTTACAGGTTGGATCAATTTACTATGAAATTCTGTTGCAAACAGTGCGGACCCATAAACTCGTGAAGTACCCGACAGAAATAAATAACTTTATTACTGGCCACAAAAAATTAATTGTGATTTTATTTTCCTAGCCAAAATTGTGTATTTTTTATGTGACTAATCTTCTTCTTGTGACTTTATTATCGGCCACGCAATTCTACACACAGAAAACGCTAGAGACAGGAGTACGCTTAACTTTAAATTCTAAATTTTTGACGAAACTAGAAACATCCTAGCCGACTTAATTCAGCTTTCTGTCGCTTTTACTCTTAGTTTAATATTCTTGTTTTTAAATATCCCACATTGTAATAGCAGTCTTTTTTTTAATTTAGGAAAGGAAAGATGTTGTAACGACGTAAATTGATCGTGGAAGACTTTGAAATTATTGCACTTTTCCTTTTATTATTTATGCCAGCATAAATAGATAAAAAAGTTTAGTGCTTTGTTTTCTTTTACGAATCCTTTTTTTCGGATTAATTTTGAATCTGAAAATACCTTGTAGTAGCAGTTTCTTTTAGATTGTGCGCCCTTCCTGCTCATGCCACGGTGGGCGGAAAACAAAAAGGCTCATTCATTCATTTTTCGAGCATTATATAGGCCAGTATGACATCATTATTATGGGCTTAATTATAGCCAATGAAAAACAAAAACAAAAACAAAAAAACAAAACAAAACAAAACAAAACAAAAAATCGAAGCTCCTTTTTTTCACGTTAAGAGAAATAGAAATAACTTTATTTGGAATAAGCTTTTAGCGAAGTTAGAATCAACAAGGGATCAACTACTATAGTAAGTCCAGTAAGTCAACATAGCAGTACAAGGGGAACATCATGTTATCTAGAAGCCAGCGTGTAAACATAACTGACCAATATTAAACTCTTCTATAAAGTAAAATGTAGCCTAGGTACCTCCACGAGATCGCTAAAAAAGAGCATAGCATGATGTTTTCATCATGCTATGCTCTTTTTTAGCGACGCCAAACTTGATGAAAACAAAATTTTATCGTCTAAATGTTTATGCTATTATTAAGAAGAATGATCAAAGTA